ATAGTAATGAATGTCTAAAGAGTGAAGGAAGAGTTGTTTTAGAGATTGTTTATTATGGTAATGTGGTATTATTAATATTTTGTTTTTTATTTAATATGGTAGTTGTTTATTTATTTATTTGCTTGTTTATTTTTTGTTTGTTTGTGGTATTCTGTCTCATCTTTATTACTTAATTTTTTATTACTTTATCATTTTTTTTCTATTACGCTATTCATTTCTAATAAATAAGTATTATTATTATTGTTGTTGTTATTATTGTTATTATTATTATTATTATTATTATTATTATTGTTATTTCAGTCATCATGAGTCACATCAGCTAGGTATGAACTGACTTGATATTGTGGAGTATATTTTGACATTATCTTCTCTGCCTCTATTGTCACCTCATTCCTCTGCTTTAGGAGCTTCTGTGTCTCACTGGAAAATAAATAATAAATAATAATAAACAAATAAAATTATACTTTCTTATATTCCTTCTGGCTACTTTATTCTCTTGAACAGCTTCACTGACTTGTTGCTGATACATTAATAGCTGTCTAATAATCATTAATAATAATAATAATAATATTTAATGTTGATGATGATGATGATTTACTTTTCATAAGCTTCATTTCTTTTTTCTGAAAGTTCTTTTGAATTTCTGAGCAGTTCTTTAAACGTCATTGAGGGAGGTCTGTATTAAATAAAAGCACATCAATATGTATCAAAAAATGTAATAAAAATTTGGGGTGATTTTGGAGCCATTTTTTTCAAAAAAACCATGGGCTATAGCCTTGGGTAGTTTTCAGATTTTTCGGTGTTTTCTTAAAATGGCCGTAGCTTGAAAAATTGAAGTCAGAATCAGCTCAAACTTTCTACACAGCATAAGTACATCAATATGTATCAGAAAATGTAATAAAAATTTGGGGTGATTTCGGAGCCATTTTTTGGAAAAAACCATGGGCTATAGCCTTGGGTATTTTTCAGATTTTTGACGTTTTCTTAAAATGGATGTAACTTGAAAAATTGAAGTCGGAATCAGCTCAAACTTTCTACACAGCATAAGTACATCAATATGTATCATAAAATGTAATAAAAATTTGGGGTAATTTTGGAGCTATTTTTTGGAAAAACCATGGGCTATAGCCTTGGGTATTTTTCAGATTTTTGACGTTTTCTTAAAATGGATGTAACTTGAAAAATTGAAGTCGGAATCAGCTCAAACTTTCTACACAGCATAAGTACATCAATATGTATCATAAAATGTAATAAAAATTTGGGGTAATTTTGGAGCCATTTTTTGGAAAAACCATGGGCTATAGCCTTGGGTAATTTTCAGATTTTTGACATTTTCTTAAAATGGCCGTAACTTGAAAAATTGAAGTCGGAATCAGCTCAAACTTTCTACACAGCATAAGTACATCAATATGTACCGTATAGCGGGTAATTTTCGGTGGTTGAAAATTTCGACTGAAACCAGAAATGACTTTAGAATAAAAATTCGTTGGTTTTATTTTCGACTAGACAAAAATAATTGATCTGATGTCTTTATTAGCATCTGTAGGACTGATGGCATTAGGGTCCCCTGGTCCTGTAGGGTCTGGAAGAGATGCCTTAGAAGGTGAACACCATTTTCAAGGCCATCCATGCTTGTTATCATGTTAGTATTAATTTATTATGGTCACGCCTATCTTCAGAATTAATTTTCATCAGAATTAATTTTCGTTCAGAATTAATAGCAACGAAAGAGACGAAAATAAGCACCAGTCAAAAATTACCCGCTATACAGTATCAGAAAATGTAATAAAAATTTGGGGTGATTTTGGAGCCATTTTTTGGAAAAACCATTTTTTCAGATTTTTGACGTTTTCTTAAAATGGCCGTAACTTGAAAAATTGAAGCCGGAATCAGCTCAAACTTTCTACACAGCATAAGGACATCAATATGAATGTAGTTTAGTATACAGTTCATGTTAGAAGTCATGAGCTCTTACTGTTGTTTCTTTATTTGTGTCCTTCCCATTACCAGTCCTGTATAAGTAGCACCAGTACTATCACCCCCTGCCCCTCCTCCTCCTCCTGTTGGTTCCTTGAGCCTCTTCATGAGTAGGTGATGCTGGAACAGTGGGCTCTGTGAGCTGGTAATGAACTGGACACACTCAAACTCAGGACCTGGTCCTATCATGGCAGCCTACACACACACACAGTGTTAATACTGCAACAACTATAATGCCTGACACTAATGATGTACATGTACTGTACACTAGTACTGTATTTCAAATAGTGCATACATCATTAGCTGTACTGCTACTATTAAACTAGGAGATTATACTCACTGACAGTACTTGTACATGTACTCACTTCTTCTTTTGGTCTTTCTTCATGTTTTCTTGAAGGTGCTTGTACTCCTTTGGCAGTTCCACCAACTGCAATTAAAAGGTAATGTATACAATATACAGTACACATATTAATGTACATGTACATGTATATTAATTGATTAAACATGTACATAATACATAGTATTGGTTTAATTCTGTTGAGTTACTTTGGAGTGGCTGGTGAGGTTGTTTCTTGGTTGGTTTCTTCAACATGTGTAGTTTATAGCTTGGATCAAGTGCTTCCATTGTCCAGCACTTCCAGCAACCAAGAGGACATGGAATACCTTTAGAATAGAGGATTTACATATACATGTACATGTACATGTATTGGTTGTCACATTTATCCACTGTAAAAGATCTAGTGAATTTTCTTAATGCATTGAAATGATTGAATGTGTGTGTCAAAATTGTGCAATCATTTCAAAAGGATATGACATCATATGACATCACAGGAAGTTAGCTTATTAATTGATCAACCCACAATGCTATGACAGGATTTGTAGCTTTCTAAATGAAAGTGGCCCAATTTAAAGTTTAGTCCTTGTTTGAGACCTTGTGATTCTTAAAAAATTTTTGGCAGGGGTCATACTTGGCCCCACCTCATAAATGAAATAAAACATTAATGTGAGCTAAGTTGATAGAGATACTGCCTGAAATGGATTCAATTTGATACCAATTGAATATTGATTCAAATATGAATCAAAACCGTCCTTTAAAATACCACTCTCTCATTTATAGTTAGATTTTATAGTTAGTACCATATAACGGGAAATTTTGGAGGGAGTAAATTCAGCAAATTGCTAAATTTTGGTGATTGGTAAATTTTAATTTGGTGGATTAGTGGCCACATACCATTGAGCATGCGTATAATGGCTCAAAATGGCAGATTTTTATTTTGGCAAATGGCTATCAAAATGCCAATTTGCCAAACTTAATTCTCTCAAAAATTTCCCGCCATCAGTATCTAACCTGTTGTCCATTCATAAATGAAGTTACATATTTTGTGAAGGAAACTCTCTTCATGGAATTTCTTAACTGATTTAGGGAACGCTTGACAGAATATTGCAAATACTCCTTGCGATAGACAACTTGGATAACTCTACAAGAGAGAGGGAGAGAGTCATATTATTAAATTGTTTTTGTAGATTAACTTGAAATAATTTATCTTTGATTTCGCTCGTAGAATAAAGAAGAAATAATTGTGAGAATTGTTCAGCCATTATTGTGTAGAGGTGATCCTGTTTTGCCTGATCTGGCTACAATAATAATTTAAAATAAATATCTTTTTTGTTAACAACTTGTTACCTTGTTGATTTTAAGCCATATCCACCAGAAAGCACACTGTTTTATTATAAAAATATCAATAGTAACTTTTCAATACTTACATGTAACATGGTGCTAGAAGATTCACAGCAGAAAAACTTTTTCCATGGTTTCATAAATTTAGCCTAAGGCAGAAAAGAAAAGGGACAAGCATAAAGAATAGCAAAGAAAAAAGAAAAAAAAAGAAATGGGCTTGTCCGGGATTTGAACCCGGGACCTCTCGCACCCAAAGCGAGAATCATACCCCTAGACCAACAAGCCACTCTATGATAACATCAGTTAAATATCTTTTTAAATATCTCACCCACCGGGAAGCCCTGACATCTTGAGACAGCATCCAACAGTGGAAGAGATTCCAATCTGTTAGGTAATGGAGGAGGCATTGGATCATCTTCTTCATGAGCACTAATTTCCTGAAACACACACACACACCTCCATTTTAAAAGCAATCTTTACATACTTTACTTAAGGGAGATTTTGCATCGTTTTCTACAAATTTGACAGGTTCAGTTTTTATTTCACTACTATCAACAGCTCTGCTTATATCAACAGTAATCATAACATTCTCATTAGTAGTTGGAGCAACATCTTGTTCACATGCAGTATCTCTTAGTTCTAACTGTCCTTCAAAATTAGCCATGTTATGAGAAGTATTGACAGTCATGCTTCTATTGACAGAAGCATTAGTCTTTAAAGGAGAAGAAACATGATTAGTCATAATGGAAGAAGAAGCTCCAGCAGTAGTAGATTCATCTGTAGTTCTGTTGCTTTCATTAGAAGGAGCTTGAGAGATGCTCTTGTCCTAATTATAAAATGACAAAATAAATTGATCAGTCACATTTTTATCTTCTTTACTTGTGGTAATTCATTTTCTGTTGTTGCTGATTGAAATGTTGTCAGTAATGCATCATTTGAAGCTGATTTATCTCCTGTCGATGACTTTATAGCATTAAGTAAATCAGGATTGCAATATGAACGTGGATCCACTAATAAACAACAACAATAAACAACAAACAAACAAGCAAATAAGCAGCTAACCATTGTCTTTTATTATTCGTATCCCTCCAGTTTCATCAGATACAGAATTACGTATATTCTCAGCATAAAGAAATCGTTCTGAAAGTTCCTTCAATTTGTCTTCAAGACCAGCTAACTTGCCATTAATTTCATTTAGCATGCCACTCTTCCAAGCTACATAATACACAACATGAAATACAGTGAGTTTATGATGTTATATTACGTGCATGAGTCCTCAAGTCTTCCTCAATTCCTTCTTGACGACCCAGTAAACTGTTTCTGTCTAAAATTTCCTCAAATCCTCGTACTTGTGGCCATGAGCCCATCCCCTGGCTCTCCACCCACTCAGTTCTAGTTCTTGGAGGTGATTTAAATCTCTCTCCATCTTCACTCTCGCTCTCCTCTCCGTCTGAAGTTTTAAAGAAATCAACTCCAAACATTATTCCTGTACCATTGTTGCTCGGTTGCCATGGCAGCATTAGCCCCGCCCCTCGCCGTACCTTTTTCGCAGTTCAAGGCCGAAGGGGCAATCGTTTGCTATTTTGATTCTGTTTCTCTTCTTCTCTCTGCTCCCAGGGAATATGTCAGCCAATGAAGAACCTGCAGCTGTAAAGTAAGCTCTATTACTGTACTCCATAGTGCATTTCTCTCCTTGCTTGCTTTTAGAATTTTTAAAATAATTATTTTACATTTTAACATCAGTAAGTGTTGGTGGAATATCCACCATCACAGCTCTGCTAAGTATTATTTTCATCATTCATTATAAATGAAGACTTAGGAAAGAGTTTACTACTTAACACATTGCATAAACCACAAAATGATCTCTAACTGAGGCTCTCTCTCTCTCTCTCTCGGCACTCTCACACACAAACACACACACATTCTCTCTCCTTCTGTTTGTGGTGTCTCTACAATTAGATTGCTATGTAAAGAATCACAAACATTCCTAATTCTGTCATAGTATACATTACACATGCACATCTTACAGCCACTGATCCTTAAACTAGCTTCACAATCCCTTACCAGATAGTCTAGAGGCCTTTAGCAGTTTGTAAAGCTCTGTCCGTCTGCAAATGGACCCATTCAATAGATCTTTAGACATGTTTTGAATAAAGCCAGGCTTGTTCACACTGGTTGAAAACAGTATGCATAGCAGAGCCAATTTTGACGACATTCTGCGTACGCAGCAAGCCCAGCCCCTCCTCCAACACCCACGCATTATCAGCCCCGCCCATTGGGCTTGGTTGCATGTATAAAATTCCTTTAAAAACACACAAGCAGAAGTTGTGCTTGAAAGCAGAGAAAGAAGCGACTAGAAGTGAATCATGACCTCTGACTACGTTCCTTTTAGGACCCAGACCTCGGAGGAGAATGGGCGCAAACACGAGGCGATGAAGAACAGGCAGAGCGTCCATCAGATCGTCCTTCCTGACGATGATGACACTTCAAGCGTTGGAGAAAACTTTGAAGTAGCCTCCATAACCTCCTCAATAGAAGACCAACTAACGTGAGTCCATGCTACAGTGGCTTCTGTCTGCTGTTATATCAATAAATAATCTAATATCATCTTTTCTCCCTCACAGATGGAGGGGTAGGATGCAAGTGGCACTGCACAGTCTACCGTTTCAAGTATTCATTCTTTCTCTGGTTGTACTTGATGCATTAATTGTATTGTTTGAGCTCTTGCTGGACGTAGGAGCTTTCAGTAAGCCACGCACTGCCCCTCACTGCCATAAGAGATATCATTTGAATGTTATTGTTGCAGAGCTAGTGTTGTTTGTTCTGCAAACTGTTGAGTTACTTTAGGAAATAGCTTGCATCAATCAAAACACACAGTAATCTGATGATTAGGGATTGAATACTGGCCTATTTTCAAGTCTATTATAGTTAATAGTACACTCAGTAGTCACCTGTATTAATGTACATGTATGTGTAAAGTTGTGTATCATTATTATCAAAAGGATAGCTGCTGAGTTTTGTTATTATTGAAAATAGTAAATTGTAATCTAAAAGAAATAAAAGCAATCTGCATGTACTTTAGCTTGCATACATTTATTTTTTGTGTTGCTATTATTATTAATTTTAAGCTATTATTAGTATCTTAAGTACACTGCTCCCTGCCCTCTGTGTATCTATTACTATTTTAGTATTATTACTATTGATTGTTGTTGCCATGAAAGGCTATCGTCTTGGGCAGGCAGATAGGAACTATTTACTATAAGTACTAATGTTTTGGTCATGCTAATTAACTTATCAACAAACGTACTATACAGACACTATTGTATCTTTATTATCTTATCATACACTTTTATATGCTCTATCTTCCCTCTCTCTCTCTCTCCCCTCTCTCTTTCTAGATAACATTGAGTGTCGTGGTGAGTTTGTCCTTGAACAAGCTCATTACTGTCATTATATTGAGGATCGTGATAACTGTGGTCCTACACCTGATCTCATTCTTGATGGAACTAATTTAACTGAAGGAAATGGATCAACTTATTGTCACT